GGCGTGTGCCTATGGGGGACATGGGGGGACGACTGGGAGGGGGAAGCAGGCCAGGGCTCCGAGGTTAGAGGTCACCGCCTCTGGGAACCTGGCCCCCAGTGGGCTGGGCACAGCCCCTCACTCTGTCCCTCTCTTCCCACCTGTCTGCAGGAGGTATGGTCCCCTCACCTCATGCCCTGTCCCAGAGCAGGGGGTGCTGGGGGAGCGCTTAGTGTCCATATGCTCATTGGCTCGTGGGGTCTGTCTACAGACACCTGTGAGCTGGGCAGCCTGGAGCCCAGGGCCAGGTTGGGGCTGGGCGTGTTTATCTGAGTCCGGCCCACTCCTAAAAGACTGAGGTGGGGGCCAAGAGCCCAGCACACCCTGGGGCCTGGCTGGTGGTGCCAGGGGACAGGGGGCCCTTGCCTTGGCCCCTGGAGCCCCGCTGGACAGGGACGGGGCCAGGGAGGGAAGGGCCAAGTCCCCGCCACAAGCCTCTGCTGGCAGGCCCATCTCAGGCTCGCCCAGACCCTCAGTGGTTGGTGGTGGGCCCCCCAGCTGCTCTGGGCCCAGGTGTGCCTCCTAAGTACCCCCACTGTGACTGGGACTGCCCTGCAGTTTGTGGGGGCCTAGGTTGGTACCTGGGGGGTCTGCAGGGCAGAGGGTAGGTGCAGGGGGCAGGACTGGTGCCCCTGACAGCTGGACAGGGATGACAGGGAGGTGACCCCTTGATGCCCCAGGGTAGGGGTCTGGGAGACCCAGCGTGGAGGCCGGGCCCATGGGACCAGTCACTGCTCAGCTGCAGGAGGCTGAGGCCAGCCCAATGGCACCCTCTGCAGGCCGCTGGGCACAATGGCTCTCTCGCAACCTTAACAGCAGTGGGTGGAAAGGGTGAGGGCAGCCCGGGGCTCCTGGGGTCTGGGGTCCTGGAAAGGGAGGCCTCTAGGAACCAGGGCCAGGGTGCGTGGGGCTGTCCCCCACGTGCAGCCCTACAGGCAGATTCTCCACCTCAGGGACATGCCCCATACCCCAGCAGGGCCCCCAAGGCAGCCTCCACTGAGTCAGGAATTCCTTTCTCTGGCTTCAGGCAGCCCTGCTGGCCCTGGGGGCAGCCGTCTGCATGCCCCAGCATGTGGTGACTTGCTGGCCTCGACCCTGCCAGGACCTCTCTGAGAGGCCGCAGGCAACAGGAGCCTAGGTGTGCACACCCTGATCCTACGGGCCCAGGCAGCATCTACACTATCTGGCCTTCTCAGAGTGCAGAGTGGCATAGTGGGGAGGGGGTCAGCCCAAGAAAGGACCTTCTGGGCACCCGCTTGGCCACGTGGAAATCCTCCTTCCCACTGAGGCGCCAAGGAGAGTTTGGGGTTTAGCCTGGGCTGGGGGCAGCTGGGAGTGGAGGCAGCACCTGACTCCAGGGGGAGGCCATGGCTGGAGAGAGCTACAGTGGCCTGCCAGTGTGGAGGTAGGGGGGACGCCGAGGAAGGCCGGTCCCCCTGCACCCTCATTCTGCTCCTCCCCCATGGGCCCTCTCAGCGGGGTGTGGATGGCCACAGCTCCAGGGAGGACAGGTGGGGCGGGGGGCGGGCCTCCCGCCCTGCAGTCCTGGTCACGGTGAGGGTCGCAGTCCCTGGGCTGCCCTCACAGGATCCTGCGGGCCTGCCTTTGGTGACAGGCCATTAGGTCTCTTGGTTCTGGAGGCTGAAGTCTGAGCTGCGGTGGCGGCCTGCAGACCTTCTCGCAGTGGCCTCACTTGGAGGCGAGGTCTCTCCCCTCTCCTCCCCACCCTCATGATCGCCCTCACCTCACCCCTTGCCTGAGGTCCCTCCTCTTGATGCCATCCCACTGGGGGTAAAAGAGGGAGTCTCTGCAGACTTGGGGGGCCCTCCTCTCCTGTGCTCTAGGAAGGTGGGGGCAGCCGTGTGTCTGGGAGGCAGCCCCGGGGTGCCCCATCCACGAGGTCTCTGTGGGCATGCTGCTGGCCTGTGGACACTACTTCCCTCCTGCTCAGCACTGGGGATCCGAGGCAGTGTCCCAGGCCAGCCCCCGAGTCCTCATGCCCCCAATCTGGCAGGAGGCCCCAGGGTACTGCTGGTGTCCCATGCAGGGAAGGCAGGGGTGTGGGTGTTCAGTCCCGCGGCTGTGTGCCTGGATTGGCCATGTTTACCCGGGGAAGCCCAGTGCCAGGCCTACCCAGCCTTGCCTCCCTGAGTTAGCTCGGGCTCCAGTATAAACACCCATTCAGCTGCACAAGGCCCCTTTGTCCTGAAAAGAGGTTCCTGGCCCAGGATGCTGACCGGCGGCCCGTGTCCTCAGCACGGCCGGCTGCCCCCAGTGGCCTTCTCTGGGCGGACTCCTGGCCAGGCTCCGAGAGGCTCCGTGGGGGACAGGGCCTTGGTGGCTGGCAGGCCGGCTGGGCCCGGTGAGGACCTGGCTACGACAGAGCCTTCGGGGTAGCCCTGACCCTACAAGGAGGAGCGGGAGCCCTGCAGCCCCGCGGCCCCATGGCCCCCTGCCCGGCGGCTAGAAGGGCCTGTGCGTGGGTGAGGCCCCAGATGAGCTGCAGTCCTGAGCCCCAGGTGCCACGGGGCCTGGAGCAGAGGCGGGCACTCTAGCCCAGGACAGCCAGGCGTGCTCTTGAGGACATGCCTTCCAGGCCCAAGTGCCTGAGCCTGAACCTTGAGCAGGGAAGCCGGATTGCGGGGTGGCGGTGAGTCTCTTGGAGGCATCACAGGCCCTGAGGGGAGGAAGCTGCTGGCCGGTGTGGTGGGTCAGGCCTGTCTGCCAGGGGCAGCGATGGGTGGCCTCTGCGTGGAAAGGACACTTCTGTGTGAGCCTCATTTCTAGGGTCCCTGGGTAGGGCTAGTGAGGGCGGTTCCCAGATGCCAGGGAAGCCGTTCGAAGTGGCTTTAAAGCAGAGAGCTGGTGGCTAGACAGTGGTATCCTGGGGGCCCGCCCCAGGGCCTGGGCTCCAGCGCGGGGGCCGGTAGCAGGTTCTGGAGCCCAGGAACACCCTGGTGGCCATCTAGAGAAGAGGCCCTATAGGAGGTGCCTCAGGGTTGGGAGACATCGTGGGACAGGAGACAGGAGGGTGGTGCAGGCAGCGGGGGGGCTCCCCGGTTCCTGCTCCCAGCACTGGGCACTTTCCTTCAGACGCTCTGAGAGCAAACATACCCTCCACCTGTGGGGTCCTGGGTGCCCTGGTGGCTGGCCCCACAGTCCCCTCCCACTCTACACTGAGTGGTGACTTTGGGCCAGCAGCGCCCCCTGGTGGTGGCTTGGAGGGCCTGCTGCCCACCCTGAGGTCCGTACTGGGGAGGCCAGCTGCCAGCAGGAGTCCCAGCGTGGGGTGGTGGCACTGGGGAACTCAGAGGCCTCCTACCTGGTCAGGCCTTGGCTTGGGTCTCTGTGCCGGGTCCCCTGCTCCCTTTTGCTAGCTGTTCCTCCTCAGACCTGGGTGCCAACCACTCCTTACTCCTGTCCAGGTACTGTTTTCCTCACCTGTGCCCTTTGCCTGCTCCTTGAGGAGCTTCTGCCTGGTTCGGAAACCACCTGTCCCAGAGGTTCACCTTCACCCAGCCACGCCCCCTCTTGGCCCCATCCCCAGTGCCAAGCAGTCAGTGAGAAGGAGATGGAGGGAAGGACCATGCTTGGCCATGTCCAAGGGTCCAGCAAGTGCATATGGCAGGTCCATCCTCTGGATATGGTCCTGACAGCCACCAAGGGGTCACCAACTCAGACACCCACCTTGACACCTGGCTCAGGAGATGCTGGGCCTTTGTGCCAAGTCACAAATGCCCACTGTGGTTGGCAGGCTCTATAGCCCAATGGCCGGTAGAGGCATGGGAACTCCATCTCAGACTCAGCCCAGAAGGCGTGGGGTCCAGCTGGGAAACCCCACCTTCCAGCAGATCGTGTCAGGCCCACCCCGGCGTCAAGCACGGCACCCAATATGATTGCAGTTGTTCATTCACCACGACCACAAAGGACCTGAGCAATGGATGCGGGGACCACAGCCCCGTCGAGGGCCAGCCACCCCAGGCCAGTGGCAGCATGGCCGTGTGAAGGAAGGGCTGGTGCCCCCTGGGCAACCACGAGGGGCACGGGACACAGCCGCAGTGGCCAGGTTAGCCTCTGGCCCAAGCAAGAAACCCAAACCGGAGTCAAAACGAGAGCATCTTTAACACTTGAACCAAAGGCAATCTTTATTTACTTTTCTTTTTAAAGCAGTCTAGTTTAAAAACAAGAGATCAAGAGAGAAGAACAGGAAAACTTCCACAGACAGGCAGACAGAAAGATAGGCGCGCGCGCGCGTGCACACACACACACACACACACACACACACACACACACACACACACACAC